GATTTTTTTGCGTGAACCCAACACGTCGTTGGTAAAAAATAAAACACATCATTTAACGCCTAACTGTACGTCCTAATCCGAAAGACCTTTGCGACAACGATGAATTCACCGAGCCCGGAAAAAACTTCAAGCTCTACGGGGATAAGGAAAAGAGAACACGCATGTATCTATCCACGGCCCACAGACAGGGAAAACACGTTCTAATATTCTTAATATTGTTTTAGTGATGTTAGTTTAAAATGTTCATTCCGGATCGTTTGAACGTTGGAAATTTCTCGAAAAAAAACAAGTTTTAACGTTCTTTGAAATATTAAAAAAAAAAAAAAAAGCTGACGTATGAAAACTATAACATGACTCCTTGACATTTTTACATTGATTTCGATCTGAACCAGTCAACGTACACCGGTTAATTTTAACAATAACGAAATTATCAATCTATGTACATTTGTTACCTACTAAACTGCAATATCTGGACGTTTAAAAATGACTGCTATTAATATTTTAGTTCGGTATATTATTTCAACCTAGACATTACAAACATTTTGAATCCAACATTCAATTATCGTGATCGATTATCTATTCCTTTGTTTAAATATAAAAATATAATACAATTATTAATAAATTAATATATAATGTAATATAATAATAACAATAACCTAACGCACACCTATGTAAAGCGCATTGTAAAACGTAAAAAAAAAAATTATTTATTTAATCCGAATCACGGTTGTTGTTATCACGTTATCACTAATCATTTTAAAATAATAAAATATCGAATAAACATCGTAATCTATTTCGATTTCGTTGTATTTTTTCATAACGGATAAAATAATAAATATTAATAAAACAAGAGACATATTATTAAAAGCGTCAAGAGATATAATATTAAGCACTTGTAGTTATCCGAAGGATTTACGAATCGTATAAAGTTCATCAATCTAAAGACGACACAATAAGACGACGACGGCAACGTTGCAGTGTCAAAACTTGCATAAGTACTGCAAGAGTATTCAACTTTCGTTGAAAATATTCCGTTTTGTTGTTAAACTTAATACAACGAGAGAATAAAAAAAGAAAATATTTAATTATTAATTATTCTAATTTCATTTGTCAAAATGTAATTTATTTATTGCGTTTATCAAACACAATGTGCGTGAAAAACTTCAAAATCGATCGTTTAATATTTAAGTAATTAACCGATTTTTTTTTTTTTTTTTTATAGTATTATATGTCTTCATTTATTTATTCAATTTCGAATGACTCGAATTAACATTTTGTAAAGGTGAAATGTGGTTCAGATTATATGTACGTATACCTATTTCGGTAGATGAAAAAAAAAGGTAAATACAAATTATCATAATATTCAGTTTGAAATAACGCAAATAATTACCTGAACCTTTTTTAATTTTTTTAACGCACAATACATACGTCTGGCACATAAAGTAAATAATAATAATTAATTTATATAATTTCTCCTACCAGGCGAATTTTTTTTATAGAAAACAAAAAGGAAACACCTCGATGACATAAATAATTTAGAGAGCAGAATACGAGTTCCTACATCTGTACATTGTAACAAAACAGTAATACATAATAATGTGCTAAAAATATATGCCTAAATATTGAGTATTGAATATAATAGAACATAATAACAGTCCAAATATTTTGAGGAGCTTAACACCCAACAATATTATGTATAGTTGTATACTCTGCAAGTATTTACTTGATGAGTATAACATTTGGAGGAGCCTGGATGAGTTTTGGGGGACAAAATCCACCCAACTCTTTACCAATTTACACTTATGATTTTACATATTCTAATAGTCAAAATCAAAGTGTATCGAAATAAGTGTAGTGGCGTGACACCAATGCGAGTTAATTGCCCATATTTTGAGACGCTGAAATCGGTCTTATATGCGAGTGTCCATTGGAGGAATAAAAGCTCAAGACAATAAGCTCCATTGAAAAATACAATTAAAAATGGTGATTCTTCCACCCCCTAAATTTATGAAGATGGGCAAACTTTTGATTTAATATAATTATTTGAATAATATTTTGTCACGCACAATCGATAGAGTTTTATGATTAAACGACTGTCAGTCGGTAATCCGTCGCAGATTTTAAGACGCGACGGTCGCACAATATTTTCATTATTTTCCCGTCGAATCCATTTTTCGGGCTAAACCATTTTTCCCAACGCGACAACTAAAACAAATAATTATTTTTAAAATAGAACACGCTTCAAAAACTCATCATTTCGCTCAATTCGGTGCAATTCGTTCGGCACTATGTAAACGCAGTCTAATAAATTATTATAGGATACTGCAGCCGCAGTACAAGAACTAACAGCAATGTCATTTCCGAAGATTTACGAACGCGACTATACGCGATTTAGTCTCAGAGACAACAGAATTGTTCTTCTAAAAACGATGTTTTCCCAGTCTCCAACGTAATAATAATAATGATAATAATAATAGTAATATATAATATTATTTTCGTCTTGCTCGTCCTCGCCGTCTTATTATTATTTAGCCGTCCTCTTTGCCAGAAAACGACTACAACACAAATCAGACCCGAAATGAATACAACACACACACACACACTACCGGAAACGATGACGTTTATTATTCCAACCTCGTTCGTTCGCTCAATAATATTTCACATCGTCGGCCGGCGTAAACGGTCACCGAAAGCAAATTCGAAAACAAATACCCGCACAGTAAACGGACATATAATAACAATAAAGAAACAATAATAATGAAATATTTTTAAGATATTTCCGAAGGAATAAGGCGAAAAGGCCGCGGCCGCGACTTGTTCGGTCGTTTTGCAAGCAGGTTCGCGTCCTGTTTACTCACCGACAGTCCGGCGCATTTATATTCGCTGTCCGTGACGGAAGGTACTCACAACGATAACGCAAACAAATAATCTTTAATAACCATTATCGCGTGGAACACTACAATAATATTTACTCGTTGTATTATAATCACCCTGTCCTCTAAAAAATAAAATAAAAATAATAATAATGAAAAAAAAAAAATGTATACACACATACCTACGACCGATGAATAGGGGTGAAAGAGTCGGATCTATTAACCTTTCCCCCGAAAATGAATTCTGTTCCTATCACTGCAGTTTACGATGTATAATTACGATTTTGCAAAGATATCAAAAAAAAAAAACATATAACATTTTAAATTGAAGTTGTTAGGTATCTCTTTAGCAATAACTTATTGCATTTCGTTCTGTTATTTTGGATTTCGATGCGTGTTAATAAAAAAGTACTCAAAAAAAAAAGTCATTCGACTGTTAAAGAAAAAACGAATGTATATATATTGACTTCATCCGACATGTAACTGCGTTACACAGTCCGTCTGATGGGTTTTATTTTTCTACGCGAATACTCTCACACTGCAGTTTATAATCGTAATATAAAAAGCTTATTTTGAAACAACGGACTAATATCGACTGCAGAAACAATGTTATCATTCGACGACAATCCGTGAAATTATTTTGGAAATAAAATCGAATAAAAGTTGATTTTATCGAGCGGTCCGTAAAAATAACATTGTTATTAACATATTACGTAATGTCAAATAGTATTAGTGAGCCGTGAATCGTATTTATTTATTTTTTTTAATTTCGTGTTAATTTGATATATATTCAAAAAATTATTAATGTTTATTCTACACAAATTATTTAAATATGTACGTAAATAAAATTAATTTGTATACACATTTCGTGTACGATAAACTCGTATATGAACTATACAACTATAAATCGCATTTTATTTTAGAGCACAACCGTTAACCAGTTATTATTATTATATATAAAAAAAAAACTAAATAAACTTACTTTAAGCATTACATAAAAGAAGAAACTTATATTATCTGATTTATAAAATATGGCTAACTTACTTAAGTCGCGAGTTCGTATACCTATATAACTCGTAGAAACTTTACTTTTACTGTGTACTGTGTACCAGTGTACACTAATTGCTCTGCTCTCCCCCCCCCCGAAAACTTTATTCAGTTTCGGCGCAAGTGTCTAACATGTAACTAAACCATCTGAGATATAATAAGTTAAAAAAAAAAAAATACAAATTACTTTTTCCGACTAAGTTTGAAATATCACTCGTGGGTATAACTCTAAAAAGTCAAGTAAGAATTATTATCAACCTCTATATTATGGTATAAATATAATACACGAAAATTACGTGCTACTTATGATGCATAATAATAAAGATTTCCGTGTTATGAGTGTTATGACCAACATTCTATAATCAACAGTGATGTGTTTTATTTAGATGAGTATATTTTATCTTTGATCTTATCCAGATAAATGAAAACTAAATTATTCGAGATAAGTAATGATCATCTAGTTGAGTGAATCTTTTTAAACTTTTGCAACTTATGCATAGGTATCATATAAATAATAGATCAAACATTTAATTTATATTAATAATATGGTTATGAAAATAATTTTTAATCTAGATACAAACTTCAATTACATGACTACCTTTTAGATTCTGAGTGAAGCGAAGAAATATATAGTTTTCAAAGATGTTTATTTTTTTTTCCGTGGACAACTTTTATACAAGCAATTTCGCTCCAACTCCCGGAGTTTTTCAACAAATGTGAAAAATTGAAAAAATCAGTACAACATATACCAAATATTATTAAAGATAATAATATATAGAGCCTATTTAGTTATTTTAATATACTATGGCGTTTATATTGTTGAAAAAGCTTCACTATCAACTGGACTCCAATCAAAATCGTTTTTTGTAAGCAATAGTTTATATCGTTGCTTACAGGTATACATTGAATTACATATAACAGTGGCTGCACTTATCCCCATTAACTTAAGACGTCTTTTTATAATTTATATGGATATAATATACAGTGTATAATGTGTATTATCATATCTGTTACAATTTAATCACAACTTGTTCGATAGATAAATTCTAAATAGGTCGATATTTTATCTACATTCTACATCCATAGATTGTTAAATTATTAATTATCTTTTACCTTTAACTAGATTAGAACAATTATTATTTTTTAACTTCATTGAGATATTTTTTAATTTATCGCAAATAACAAGCGCTGTTTGTGATAAAGTATTAACCTTATAATACTATGTTCCTGGGTGATTCAACCAACCAATTGATATTAATTACAATTCATATTATTTATTAAATTATCGTAAGCCCCTTATTATAATACGTGCAATTATATCGTCAATATCAATAATTAAATCTAAATAGAGTTCACATTAAGTATTACTTTCATAATAATATATAGACACATCTATTTCATAATTGATAAGAGATCTTTTACGGTTCGTTTGTGACAGACTGCGATAAAAAAAAAAAATATATATATAAACTCGTCGAATATACATATTAAAATTTACAATTGTATTAAATCGGTCCAATAATGAAATAATAAATCGATATTACAGTGTCTGAGACGTTATAAAAGCTCGCTGGAGTATCTACACCGCTCTTTATATAGGTATTATAATATAATCTTCAGTAATTGGAATTAAAAATAAAAAAAATCTCTAGAAAAGTCCCGTTACTGCAGGTATTAGAGTTCTAAGACGCTGTTCGAGTATAACTATTATTATTGGAGTATTCTATGTGTACCTATAACTAATTAAATTGATTTATAATGCTTTTTAATCACGGCAGGTTTCTGTTATTACGTACTCTTTATTCAAAACGAGTGTTGCACGCCGATGTAAAGTATTCATACGTCGTGATATTATGTGTACAGTCGGGAAATACGAAAAGGGACTCTTCGAAAACCCAGAACACTTCTTTAATCGTATTAAAAGCCCCGAAAAACTTTTTAAAAAATAAACTCGATATCGTTCTCGTTTATGGTTTACATGGTTTCCCAGAGACACATGATAAAACGATTGTTTACTAGATATCTAAAAATTAATAAAAATAAGTGTCCGTCTGTTTGCTTATTTGAGCGCGATTTACAGCAGAATTCATCGCATATGGATGTCTGAACATTTACACGCAGAAGGAGATCGACGGACCAGTGTGCAGCTCAAAGCCGGATTTCCGAAAATCAATTCAAAAAAGAATGGCTGACAAAGGGTTTTGGCATTAAAAAATTAAGTTTGTCGATTGATTTTCGGGTTCCTCAATAACACGAATGAGAAAAACAATAATTATTAGTTGATTGGATTGTCACGAGCGTGATGGAAGTACTTAATTTGATAAAATAAATCACCGGATAGCAACGGTTTACCGAGATAACAAAGGGAATGCAACTGGACGCGAAGAGTTCCCGGGGAAACACGGCGAGACAATTTTTTTCACGGGAGACGTGGTTTGGGACAGCTAGTTTATTAGTTTACTATATTGTATTTAGAATATATTAAATCGAAATAACAACATTATAATATTCTATAGTTTAATGTAAGGAAAAAATAAATTAAATTCTCAGTTGGTAAAATGATTATTAAATATTTAAATTTAGTTTCAGAGCAATTGTATATTATGACGTATGTTTTTTCAAATAATTTTTTGTTTTGTCTGTGAACAAGTTTTCGACCAGAAAACTCGTTCCATTCATAAACTTCAGAGATGGTTTCTGGTAGAATATGTTGTCTAGATGGTGCATTGAGGAAATTATATTTTAATTTTTTTTTTTTTTTTCAATAAGAGTTGATTTGGTCGTATGCAATTTGAATTGTTCAGGTTAGTATGTATTCTTAAATTTATAATAAAAAATCGTTATATTATTATGATAAATAATTGATCAGCCCTAAAATACCTAACTTTTTACGTAACGGACTTTTTTTCGTTTTATAAAATATTGAAAGATTCATATTGATCCACGAGTAAGAACGATAGTTGAGTAAACAAATCAATCTGGATTTCGTGTTTCATTTTTTTTTTTATGTTTACGAAAAACTTTTACTTTGTTAAACATATATATATATATATATATATATATTCATTAACAATCACGCGGTATGTTAAAATATCGGCAAAAGTTTACAGTGTATAACAACAAAGTAATTTATATTAATAAAATGCGCGGTCGTGTGAAAATAGTAAATACTTACGAAAAAAAAAAAAAATAATAATAATAATAAAATAAAAACATTTTCCAATAAAAGTTTGCGAATAATACACCATATAAACTCTACCGAAATCCCTAAAGGCTTCTACAGAAATTCTACATTATAGAACCACGCGGAAAACAGTATGGATAATGACATGTCGATACTTTTATTAAAAGTATATAATACGAATTAATTGTCTTTTTATTTTTTTTTTTTTGTCAATCTTCGGTTAACTGTGAATAATTATGACGAGATAAAACATTGTTAAAACACTGTGGACACGTGCAAATTCGCCTATAGTAGAAAACTGTATTTTTTTTTTGAGTTAAACTGATTAATCGTTGAAAAACCAAAATAAAAGTCAATACTAATAATATAAATATAATACGTGTACCTATAGGGACGTTCGATTTTTTTTCGATAATCGATTATTCTTACGAACGATTAATCCAAAAACCAATTGGTGTCGAGAAATCGGTTAATCACGAATAAATTATTCAATTGATATATACCATACCACTATAAATTACTATGGTAACGAATATACGAAGAAGGGTAATCAACGGAAAAAAAAAACACAGATTTTAAACTTTGATTCGTGAAAGTGATAATCTGTCGTATTGTGCGTTGTATAAATCGTCAATGACAGTGTTCCTTATCTATTATTTAATATTTCAGAATACCTGAGTATTTAATGAGATTTATTGACATTCCCTTGTATTTAGATTTCTATAGACGCAGTAAATAAATTTCCAAGTTTCGATCAATCGGAATAATCGAACAGCCCTTTGCGCATCTTAGATTTGAATTGTCTGACTTTTAGAACTAAAATCGCCTAGAGACAAATGGAAACGTTCGATTTAATTTAAATTTTATGAGGTAATTGGCATAGCCAATGAGTATCGAATAAGACAGCGATACTTGTTTTCTATCTTATAATCCGACTAAACAATATTATTATATAATTAAATAGGTTTTTTTTTTTTTTGTTTGAATGTAAAGGGGAACAAAAATGATTTCGTAGATAGGCATCTAAAATGTATTTGAACTTAGAGACGGGTACGGAGTATGAAATTAAAAATCGATTACACGAAGAAAAAACTAATGGGTCAATAAATACCTATGGAGACGGTTTTCACCCGTATTTTACTATAAAATATCACGAAAACGTTTTGAAAATCTATTGTCGCAAAAACGTAATAATTTATTGTGTAAGTATGGGAAAAAAAAAAAAAAAACAGTAGACTTACGTATCGACTTTTTTTGTGAGTTTATAAATATATTTTCTACGTATCAAGATCACACATAATTCTTTATTTGTCAAGCAGTTGAACATAATTATTGATTTGATAATAAATAACTATTAGCCTTCGGTGATCGTACGGGGATAACGAATAATGTCCGTAAACAGTATAAACCGCGGGGTTATGTAACATTCGGAGATTAGTGCGACAAACGAGTGTACACGCCGAGCAAGAAGTACAACGTTGTATTGATAATAATGGGTGTCATGTGATAAAACGCAATACAGAACGGCAGGGGTAGTGTAAATAACGTTCGATAAATGCTGGCGGGAACGTAGTCGAAAAGTGCACGGGACATTCCGTGATAAATGTGTTCCGCGTTTAATATTTCAATATTATTTACCTATATTCCGCACGTTCGTTCCTAGTCACCGGCCGCAAATCGACGGCGAAACGTTTCGTTACGGTTACGAACTCACGGAAATCGTCGGTTAGATATTCGTTTGAGAGTAACGAATTCCATTATTTCCTAACCGAATCCAATTTTAACGGGATTCTCATTGCGGTCACCGCCAACGAATTTGCGCATTTATACACTGTACAGTGTACATACACGCTGAAACATCACCGAAGTGATAACTGGAAATGTTCCAAACGTGCGAATTAAGAACTCCATGTCAGATAATGTTAAAACAAGAATGATGATTTTTTGTTTGTTTGTTTTTTTTTTTTTTTTGAAACACGTACGTAACATTAATTAAAATGTTGTTGGGAGACGGCATTGCATTAAAAGTTACAGTAAACGCAGTAGCAGAAACGTTAAAACAGCATAATATACACGACACAATATGAAATATTACGCGTTTCAGTAGACATCTCTGCGACGTCTATGGGATAGAATTACCCGCAGTTGTAGATACCTGCACCTCGGTTATTTACTCGATTACGTACGCATCAACACCTCCTAACCGATAAACGTTATTATCGAAAAATGCTTTTATACCATTCGAGTTTCAGATTCGTTTTCTGAAATTCGATTTCTCTTTTGATTTCTCTGTTCATACGTGTATACGTATTGTCCTATATGATTATCGACGGATTCCACGGTAACAACGTACGGCCGGAATCAAAAACACATATAAAAACTCGAGTTTTCGAAATTCGCAATGAATTCCGGAATCCCGAATAACGGTTTATCCAGATTTTCACCGTCTCGCTGTATTACAACAATACAGTAGACAATGTACGCGTTGTTTTTTTCATTGAAATGCTGTCGATGCTTATGGTGTATAGACAATCGTCGAGTGCGTTATTATTATGGAAACGAAAACAAAACGAGAAGTTATTGTTTTTCCAGCGATTGTGTGGTGAAAAAACAAATGTAATTTTTCTCCGTACGCGTGTCTTTCTGACGCGAAATCCGATTAAAAAAAAAAAAAAATGAAAAAAATGACAACGGCGGCGAATGTTCCCGAGGAACAGTCCCGGCGCAACGGACGACGAGAGACAGATGAATAACAATTATTGTGACGGCGGCCATTGTAATATTTACGACGGCGCGAAGTCGACCGATTAAGTGCCCGTCGGACGCAAACAACGGCGGCGTTACGATATTATTCATCACTTCCGCGGACGGCGACGACAGAAACGGACAATGGCGATGATATTGTGGTCCAGACGTGAAATTTTCGATTTCGCGCGGCGGCCGGACGGGCGGATAAGACGGCGCGAGACAATAATAATAATAATAATTGTTATTAATAATCTCGTTGATCACCTAACCGCCCGTTGTCAACGACGGGCGCTTACGAGTGGAGGGTTTCGGCAAAAACGGGTTTAAACAAAAATTCGTTTTTTTTTTTTTTTAACGTTATAGGAACTGTCGGGAATCTACACGAAAATGTGGCGAAAACGGCGTGAACAATTTATTTCGAGTATTTTTGCAAACCGAAAAACATTTTCCGATTTACGGAAAAAAAAAAAAAAAAAAAAAAAAAAAACATTTTACTAAAACACGATATATGCCTGTAGGGAATTTTCGGGCGTGGAAAAAATGCATTTCGACGGGAATGAAAAAAAAAAGTAGACGGAAGGAAAAAAAAAAATGAAAAAAAATGTAAACATTCGAAAAGCGTTTGAAAATTCGTACGCGGATGCGAGAAAACCGCGAAAATAACAGCGTTCGAATGTGTACGTCGTTTACCGGACTGGCGTACACACGACGCTGCGGTTTCTCAGATCGGTCCCGGCAAAACCGGGCGCCGTTCTACCGTCCGGCCGGTCCCGAGCGTTCAGACTTGTTGTCGGCGCCAATCCGTTCGCGCGGCCGTTTCGTCAAACTACAGTGCGGACTCCGTCGGGGGTTCTCGTTCGCGGTGCCGTAGCTGCGCCGGCGAGTGCGCGGAACGCGGGAAACGCAGCGGTACACCGAACGACGTTCGCGCGGCGGTAAATGGTGCGCGCGCGCGGGTACGGCCGCCGCGCAACACCGTTAACCGAAGCGCCCGGGGAACTCCGGTACCGAATTAGAACACGAGGAAAAAAAAAAAATTATTAAAAAAAAAAAAACACCTACCCCTCGGCGGCATGCGTGACCGACTGCGTATTGTATACATTGTGCACGGTCGGGTCGGGTGCGTTTTGCGCGTTTTATACTCCGCGCGTTCAAAGTCCCATTCGCTTCGTTGTTGTAATTTTTTTTTTTTTTTTTTTTTTTATTTTCACCGCGCGGGAATTGCCGTAAGAACGAAAACAATATCTCGGCACGCGGAACATTATTAGGCGGCTTATTATTTTTATACGGGTACCGTGTCTGCGTGACCGAGCGGTTGACCCGATTCGTCGGGTCATTATTATAATTATAACTTTGGCGTATTTCTTTTTCTTGCTATTATTTTTCAAATTTTTTATACTTTTTTTTTTCTTCTTCTTCTTCTATATATATACACGTATTCCAGCGAATCGCCTGACGCGTATAACAAATGCCGCCCGATCACGATAACGGCGCTAAATTACCGTCGTCTTTGAAATATTATATATTTTATCCTTTCGACTTTGCGTTCGGTATACACGACGGATTTCGTGCCACGGAATAATATACGTTTTGTCGCGGAGGAAAAACTTTAAACACACACACACCCAAATATTTTATAATATTTTCCGAAACCCCGCGAAGGATTAACAAACAAAGTTTAGACGAAGTTAATTTTAACATTTCTTGTGTTTTTTTTCTTTCGTACATGACGAGTCCATTAATACATTTTCCAGCGGTACCCACTTCGTTTTCCAAATTAACAAAATTCTTTTTTAAATTAATTAATTAATTGGTTATTTAAATCGAGTTAACGTTTTTGTTTTGGCCTTTATTTTTTTTTTTTTTTTGTTTGTTTGTTTGTTTGTTCGTTTCTCATTTAAATAAAACTATAACTTTTTCGTTTGTATTCATTTTTGAATTTTACTACTTACAGCAATGTAATGGACTCGATCAATTTATTATGTACATGGTATGTAGTTGGAAATTACCCGAAACTCAAACGCGGAATAGGTCGCAGCAATTTTTCTAATCAAACAACAATCGATTCCAGTTCTATTTGTTCATATACTTATTTCTAATAGAAAAAAAATTTGGAAAAAATTTCAAATTATAAAATTATTAACGCCAACATTACTTTGTTCGGTTTTCCCAATTATCATGGAAAACCCTTGAAAAATTAAAACAATGAGCTCCTCAATACACCAACTCAATCAAAAATCCAATAAAAAAAAAATGGACAAATTATCAATTCAAAACAGTTTTGAATGAAATAACAAATCATTCTTTAATGCTTTGATCACATAAATCTAAAATGGATAAATAATAAAAGCTTAACAATTAAAATATAATAGACATTTTTTTTTTGTTCTGAATAAAATAAATGCGTGTAATATTTATATTGTTGGAAAACATTGAAATATTAAACTATTAAGGTGTTTTATAATAGCAAAAATAATACTTACGCAACATATATCAATTTAAAACAATAACTTAACTGATTTATTTGATGGCGAAACGGGAAGATTTTTAGTTCCCAATAAAACGGGTTTGTTAGTCTGCAAAATGGGAGTCGGCAACGTGAAAATGAACCGTGGAAGAGTCGGCTTCATTAGCAATTGCTAATCGTTGCGTACATTAAATGATATTATGTACCCAGATACCCTACCTTCCCGAATTCCCATCTAAAATAATTGTATCAGCTCATTTTACTCTTGTTCCCAAGACAATCTGAATATCAACAAAAATTGTATTCGAATACACAAAAAACCGATGTCTGCCTACTGCTACTGCTACTGCTACTGCTACTGCTGTCACCTCCTGCAGGAAAACCCCAGGAAAAAATGTCCCCTCCCCACTGACAAATAAAACTATCAACCAAATGTATTTATGAAATGTACAATACTTGTTTAGTCTTAGATTAAAATAATTTCAATCTAACAATACATAAAATGTGGGCCCGTCCAAGAAAAATGTCCTAGATTTAATACCGGCTGCAGCTCAACTGGGTTTTTTTTTTTTTACCGTTTGAAAAGAAAATGATTATTACCCGAAGTGCAACAATTTCTACAATTTCAATCATAATGGGTATGACTTTACGAAATACCCTTTATCCGTTTGGATAAATTAAATTTGATTTTAAATAAAAATTACAAATAACAAAATTATATTTTCTAAAAATTTAACGAAAAATAGATATCTCATATTTACTTAAGGCAGATATACTTTCTAAAAGAATAACAATAAACAAAATTATAATAATACCGAAAAAGAAAATATTTTTTTCTAGGGAAAAAATATATAAATATATACTATGATATACAAGAATAAAAATTTGTTTTCATACTCCGTTAAAAGGATTATTATTATTCTAGAAACAAGAATTTTTACAAAGTTTTTTAAGTTCTTTTCTCCGCCATCAAATATAAACAGAATTTTTTATCAACACTGGGTAAAAATGAATATTTTATATGATGAGCCCCTAAAACTTAAAGTTTTGTTTAGTAATCAATCACATTCTCTTTTTCTCTAGTTCTCTCTCTCTCTCTCTCTCTCTCTCTCTCTCTTTTTCTCTTAACGAGACTTTATAAATTTAATTTGCGTGTTGAAATTTATAATTTTGTAAACAACTGTAATATCATGTAATAATAAAAAGTGTATACTTATATTCGATACAGTGTTCCATTTAAATTAAGTTTGGTCAGGTGCCTAATTTAAATACGCATCGATCATTTATTATACGATTAGTACCTTATCGATTTTTACCTGTTTCTAAAAAAGTTAAAATTCTCCTCTTCCACTTTTCTGCTTACGGTCCGTATTAAAAGTCACTATAACGCCAGGTCTTCCGTCTTCATTCCATCTAGTCTGTATATATTTCCTAAAATCCTTTCACAGGCCTACCAAACTTTAGACCGATCGATCTCACGCAGTAACACCTCATTTTTATATCTGCTTCAATTCATCGTATTTTCTATTGGACTTTTTCTCATAATATTATGTTAAGACTCTTGAGATTTCTTCAAATTCCTTAAGTGCATTCTTGTATTCGGCTTTGTTTTCCTATACAGTCTCGTTTTATTGTTTAAATGACCCTCGGGCGCCACGTAATTCGAACTATTCTGGTGCCTAACATAGTACCCACTCGACTTAACCCTTTTGAAATTTAAAAGTGGGGTTGTCTTTTTATTCGAAAAGTCGACCTTATTCATACGATTTCGTCCGCACTTTTTCAACCGTAAAAAAAGTATAACATTAAATATTATATTCTTTTATAATGCGTTTTTGGGTTTTCAATTTTAATAACGTCTTTTCACTTAACAAGATTTGCATTCACTTGTTTGTTATTAAAAATGTACAGCGGGTATCTATTTATTTATCATACCATGACCATAGAATTTGTTTCAATATTTAAGATTAACATACTATTATATCTAACTACTCGTCTACCCCAGTTATAGCCTTAAGAACCTATATTATAATAATAATATTTCCTGTAACAATTTAAAAAAAAAAGGTAAATTTCATAAAGTTATTTATTTTATATTCGTACATAACGATAAGCTATTGCTAACGAAAAACGATTTTGAGCAAAATTCGGTTATACTTGTTTTATGCATTTTGAACTGTATCATTTTTATGACTGGCATGGACTTTTATACTGCACTGTTATAATATACGGGCTATAATAAAACGAACTACCAAACGTTTTCGCACGGACGAAAACGATAATGATCGATAACTTAACACCGTCACAGTTTCGACGTTTTACCGGAATGCGTGTTTAGTAAGTTTTCCCAGAACTCTGCAAGCGTACCTAATCGAAATAGGTATCGTGGGCGGACATAATATTTACGGGAGTTATAAGTATGTTCCGAAGACGGGCATCATATTATTATTACCGCGACGGGGTAGCGAACCGGACGGACTCTTCCGGTGTATCGGGTTTTTTTCTCGTTATAGTGGCCGTCTGAATATTTCGTTTTCACGGTTTCCTATACGATATATAATAACGCGGTACGTCCTTAATATAAGCCCCGTATAATCGCATCTTTTGACCGTAAACATAGTGAAAAGGGTATTGACGTATGGTCCCGAAACGAAGAATCGATGTCACACGCGTACACCTATGGTCAGTGATTTTCATCTCAAAACAGACATGTTCATAAGTGATCGGACATCGTGGAGGTGTGCATGCGGATACCTTTTTCCACCACGACGAACACGAAAACCTATAATCAGCAGATCAATGCTGGATCGGAATAATAATATTTATACATGAGTTTTATCATTTTGACGGTACTATAACCATTCAAAAAGACATCCGTAATATATTGGCTCTTGCAGAACTAATATTACTTTTGTTGTACACACGTGATAAAATTATAATTGAAAAAACTACAGGGTCTGGTCTTCCCTTCACCCCTCTGAATAATACCTATTACTACTGCGAGATCGTTTGCAAGGACACAGCTGAACAAATATTCTTTCTTCGGTCTCGTCGTTTTACATTTAACGATGCGACGACGACGGCCGTTTTTAAATTAGATTCACGAACTTGATATCGTATTTTAATAATATTATTCTATTTCCGTGGACCAATCAGCCGGTGTGTCGCGCGATGAAATCAGCGTAATCGATCGAAACATTCAAATTTAAAACGACCCCTGCTGCAAAACGATATATTATAGAGCTGGGTGTACGGGAAATGTTACATTTTATCTAAATAATTGTATATTTTTGTATTTCATCGCATCTAAATAGATAAGAAACAATTTATCAGAGCCGATATTTCAGATAAATAATTTAATTCAAGTAGACAATAATATAATAGATAGAGCGTATCAGTTTGTTATAATATCTCAGTGGTTATCACATAATATACAATAATGTTAACAAACTGCCTGAATTTCTTGTCGTGTCGGTCACAAGATTACAATGGCCTCGATAGGTATAATGTCCAATATCAATTATTTTACTATCTCAAAACAGCAAATATTTTTTAATTTATATTTATACAATTATTACAAATTATAGGTAAAATATTCAATTCAAAGTATAATGCGATTTAATAAAGAAACGATTACGTTTGATCAATCAAACGATCTTTTTCTTAAATCTGGATGTATAAATAAACGAAATCTGGTACGTTTTTATTACTTTCGGCACTTAGTTGAGTGATACGTACAAGAAACGAAAAACTACCGTTTTTTTTTTCTTTTTTTATCTGGATACAAAATTGATGGTTTACTATGTTATACGAAGATAATCCAATTATTTTATATTATCTTCATCTGGATAACTCCTCTAGAAATTATGTCTTTAGCTAGATACGATTACAATTTCTATTTTACAACGGATATAATATATACGAGCAAAGCATTTGAAAAAAAAAACTCTTGGTCGATATTTTTTTTTATTTCTATTATTATTATTTCTATTATTATTATTTCTATTATTATTATTGTTATTATTATTATTATTATTATTATTCATATTATCGTCCCGTGAAATATACTAATAACAATTTAGATTGCGCGCGTTTAACGCGATTATATTTCAATTGTATACTCGAATATATTATCGTAATAATAATAAAATATATTGTATACCGGAACGAGAGGGGAAAGAAGGAGGGGGGGGGAATGACGTACACATATTATGTATACGAATACGAAAACTGCGACAAACTCTCGTTTTGTTTTACGTCGCGCTATAAAACGGTACCGGGAGTGTTATAATAGTTACGAGCGGAATCGTCGCGCGCGTTGCCGTATTACACACCGCGTATATTTCCTCATCTCAAAAAAAAAAAAAAAAAAATTACAAACGCCGGTAGGTACCGGCAAGTATACCCTCCTTATAAACGGTACCCTTTACGTTCGCCTAGTTTGAAAATTCGATGAAATCCCGCGCGAGCCGCTAACGAGGTATTTTTCAAATGTCTCAAATACCTGCAGCTACCACCGCTGGTTACAAATGGGTACAACTAACATACTACCTGTCCAGTGCCGGCCCGATAGGTTTCGGGGCTCACAGATTCGCTCGATTTTCATAAAATTTTATAAACTTTAAGGTCTTGTTATCGTGTATACCTATACCTATATATATAAACTGATAAAATCAAATTCGTATTTTTTATATTAAACACGAAATGAGTACCTACTTAGGTACAAACAATATTTTATTAATAAATATTTTTATTAGCTATGTATAATTGGTACAGCCTTGATTTTTGTCGATAACAACCCGTGTCCTAAGAAAACCGCACGGCCGCGGATCAAAATTTGCCCACTATTGGGACAATATCGTTATGATTGTTTATAGATAAAGTGATATTTAGAACCCATAATTTGCGGGGGACGGCACAAGCGCGGGACCCGGTGCGATCGTATGGCTTGCCCCCACCCACTAAGGCCGACACCGTACCTATTACCAAGTGAGAACCGAAAATCCTCTGACATTATGTATACCCCACGATGCATTAACAATAACACATAAATATTACACACGTCCAGTGCCGGATTAAGCGATTTTAGCCTACCACGGTCCGATTAATAGATTATTTACGGAGAATGACAGCATCCCTCATTCGAAATTGTTGGGACTTGGGTAATTTTTCACCGCCTAAAACACTGTCACCTAATTTGAAAATATTGGAAAGGAAGATACATAAAGTAATATTTAATTCATATCAAAACACAACAATAAATCTTGCTATAGATAAACTCGATATACTAACGAAAACTATTCCGAGTAATGTATTACTGGTTGTATTTTCCCCTTATTGTAAAAGTAACCCGGAAATCAACAAAAATTAACAGTTTTTTTCCCATTTATTAAGAAAATTACAAATAAAATGATTAAACAACTCCCCAATGATCCGGCTGGATCAACATTTTTACAAAAATAAAGAAAATGACCATAAAGTTTTTGATTGTAGCAAAATTTCTAGTAGAATTCTTACGAACACAAAAAACACTCATTGTAGTAAAACCAATACTTTCCTTATTTCACTCAAAATTTAAAATGTAATTTTTCTCTATCGAAAAGTACTTTCAATACAAATCACAATAATACAACAAATACTGCGTATTCGCGAAAAACATAAACAAATATCAATTATAAAGATATGTATTATATCTACTTGTTATGAAAATAATAAAATAAAACATTAACTTCGAAGACGGCGTGTTAATTTTCTATCTGGTGTTTTTTAAGAGGTTGCTACACACATAATCAATTGTTGTCTAAGTTTTACAAACGTGCAACATAGCAAATTTGCATTCAGCAGAACCACCTTTAGGATTATCACTATTCCAAAGGGTTCATGTCTCACTTAAACATTAAATTGCCGGAAAAATACCAATGTATAAAACCGCAGAAAAGGTACTCAACTTTAAGTTTGATATTATGTTAATTTACTACAATTTAAAATTAAATACACAACATTGACTCTGATGAACGCATATTTTCTATATTGCACGTTCGCAAGACAGAGACAAAAAATCGCCAACTGTCCTAATTCCAAAAATGTAATTTTATGTTTACAGAGGGTGATCAACACAACGTAAGACAACTATTATCTCAAAGAGTATCGGTTTTTTTTTTTTTTTTTGAAATTCGTTTTTAAAAATATTAAGAAACAAGCCGCTCTTATTTTTACTCATATTTTTGTGAATAAAACAATCACCTCATTTTGATTTTCAGAGAAACTTTCATTACAAAGTCCAAAAACATATTATAGAGTAGGTATTATTAATATTAAACAATTAACTATATTAATGCTATATAAGTTAAGTTATTGCAGTTAACCATAGTTTAAATACGCTTTGATTAATTTATTTTTGGTTTATGTTAATTTTTGACTACTCGTCGACAAGATATTGACTTTTGACTTTGGGTTAGAGTAGAGTGGTGAGACACAATTCAAACGCCACACTCTTGCCACCGCACAATTAAATGCTCCATCACAACTCATCCCATGCCAAAACTTAAAAGTGAAATATCCCGCCAACGGAAAACAACAGTCTCAACACCGAATTCGTTTTAAATGTATACTTCATCTATTTATGAAATTTTTTATACAAGTTATTTCAAAATCAAAAGTACGTAGTGGTTTCACATCGAAAA